CTGGCCATTTTCCGCCCCGGCCCGGGGACTCCCCGGGTTCTTCGCACGCGGCTCATTAGTCACCGCTCGGTCTATGCCAGACAACCCACCAGCCTGGGACACCCGCGGGCTTACCTTCCGGGGGTCAGGACAGCGGGGAAAGGGGAACAGCGGGACCAGCGGGCTAGAGCGAGCACCGCGGAGGAGTCCCTCATTCCCGGTGGGGTGGCCGGGGTGACTTCACCAAGACCAGAGGCCTCGCAGCTGCATTGTCCAATTTGCAGGAGCCGCGAGCCGCATGTGGCTGCTGAGCTCCTGTGGTGTGGACTTCATTAACAAAATGTAAAATAGCTAATAAGCAGTGTTTTGGATATATTGGGTTAAAACGTATTAAAATGAATTTTATGTACTTTTAACTTTTTCATGTGGCTACTACAATGTTTAAATTTTATATATGTGGCTTGCATTAAACTTTTATTAGAGCTACTTTGAAGCATTAAGATGAATTTGGGAAAGATGAGAAAGGCCTGCAAACATAATAAACACATTACCATTAGAATCTTCTTTATAATCTACAAATTGCATTATTTCTCACCACAACAACTTTGTAAAATCTTACAGACTTCAAAAATATGTGACTCACTTAAGGTCATAGGTGACAAGCATTCCTTTAACATATATTTATTTTTTTTTCCTATGTGCCAGGCACTGTAACTAAATGCTGGGAGTCAAAGACCCTAAAGGAACTGTCTGTGGATTTAAGGACTCAGCCAACAAATATTTGCAATGAAATGTAATGGATGCTAAAATGGAGAAATATACTTAGCACTGGGAGCAAAGAAGTGAACATGCATGGGAGAGAGGTCAGAGAAGAGCTCGCAGAAGTCTGAGGCAGAAGAGTGGGGAGGGCTCCATAATGAGGAGGAGGAGGATGTGGTAGACATGCACTTGGGAAAGGGTATAGAGCAGATTCTAGGATATGGGGGGTGAGGGGAGTGTTAGAATCAAGATTTGTATCTCAGGTCCTGGAACTAAGTCCAGGGGTTGTTTTCATCGATAGCACTGGTGAGAAATACGAGGCGTATTACTAACAATAGGGCAGGCTAACAATACCAGGTCTCTGTGGCTTAACACAATAAAGGCCTATGTTTCACACAAGTCACAGTGTGTAGTGGGGCCAGCGGGTGGGGTGTCTACTTCAGGCTGCTTCTATCTTGTGGCTCCACGTCCCCTGTTGCCTTGGAATCATCCAATCTGTAGGCCTCAGATAAGGGAGGAGAGCTGTGCCTGAGGTATCAGGGGCCAGCCCTGGAAATGGTGTGCATGTTTTCACCCTGTTCCCTTAGCCAGAATTCAGGTGTACGGTCACATGGCCCAGCCGAACTGCAGGGCTGGCTGGGAAGTGAAGTGTGTGTGCCTAGTAGAAAAGGAAATGGGGTTTGATGAACACTTAGCATTGCCTCTGCCACACAATATTAAATTGAACATAACCAAGTACCTAAATCTGACTTTACCTGAAAGGAATATTTGGGGAGAGCTGGCAGGTAGATATATATGAGAAACAGGCCGAAACCGGTTTGGCTCAGTGGATAGAGCGTCGGCCTGCGGACTGAAAGGTCCCAGGTTTGATTCCGGTCAAGGGCATGTACCTGGGTTGTGGGCACTTCCCCAGTGGGGGATGTGCAGGAGGCAGCTGATCGATGTTTCTCTCTCATTGATGTTTCTAACTCTCCATCTCTCTCCCTTCCTCTTTGTAAAAACTCAATAAAGTATATTTTAAAAAAAAGAAAAACAGCATTGACTCTCTTCTTTGGAAAATAAACTGATGTGAGATTGTATCCAAAACAAACAAAACTGAGAAAAGTAAGCTTTGGCCTAATGGCACCATAATGAGTCATTAATATTTAATAAATATCTACTTTATGCCAGAACCTTCTCTTAAACATCACTGGGGGGTGGGGGTGAAATACTTTTATATTATGCTTTTAATGTGTCATCTCTTCAGCTGTTAATCAAGAAACTGTGGGGTGTAGATATTATCTCAGCATGAGTTCAGGGGCATTAAGTGAGCCAAAAGGCAAAATTGGGAATTGGACCTGGCCTTAGACTTATAATCTGGTGCACCAGTCACCAGAGTGGTATCTTAACCTTTCACAGTAATATATGGACAAGTCCAAACTCCTACATACTAGTAATGTTACAAGGTGGAGTAATTAAGCATGCACTGAGTAGTAGGCAGATGATTCCATCTTTTTAAGACTTTCTGGTGGAATTGTTTCAAGATCAGCTTTGAAGGCAAAATGTAGGAAGAACATCTTGGATAGAATCAGAAGGGATGAAGAACATGCTGTGCAGCATGCTATGGGATGTCTAGAGTATAGAGGTAGGAAGAACATCTTGGATAGAATCAGAAGGGAGAAATGGACATGCTGTGTGGCATGCTATGGGATGAAGAACAGAATTGTGGGGATGTCTAGAGTATAGAA